ACACCTCTGCATTCAAACATCAACACAACACACAACCATACCTCTACATTCACACAAACATACTCCATACTCTTTACAAAAACATGCTTACATTCAAATACATAAACACTGGCCTGAGATGTAAATATATGCTTGTGACTGTATGTGTCTTTATGTCTCTGTATGACAGTTTGTCTGCCTTTATATGACAGTTTGCCTGTAAGTGTAGATTGTATGACTATGTGTTTGGATGTTTGTTTGATTGTGTGTCTGTATATCTTTGTCACTGTTTGCCTTAATAACTAGGTCTATGTGCCTGTATGATTGTGTGTCTCTATTTTTTTGTCTTTGTGCATATATGTATTTTTGCCCATTTATCTATTTTTGTATGGGAGAAAGAGACAGAAATGGGCCGGGGGAAAGAAATAGACACAGAAAGTGGCTGGTGGGGAAGTAAGAAATACTTACTTAAAAGAAGGGTTGTAAGAGACACACTAAAGGGGAGCAAGACAAGAGAGGGGATATGAAGCAGTAAAGAGGGTAAGAAATTCAAAAGGGGGGCTATAAGACACAAAGGTAAAGATGCTTTTTTTGTGGGGGTAGAGGGGCAGCAAAATGCATCTTCGCCTGTGTAGCCAAAAATCCTTGCACCAGCCCTGCTCGAGTCCCCCTTATTTTTACTTACCTTATCCCAGCGCCGATGTACCTCCGCGCTGGGTCGACCCCCCGCCACCACAACAAGCGGGCTCTAATGTGCATGCACTGCAAATGCTGCGTACGCATTAGAACTCCCCATAGGAAACCACTGAATCGATGCTTCCCTATGGGGGAAAAATCTGATGTTGGATGTCCTCATGCAGATACCTGACCAAAAGTCAGTTTCGATTCAGGAAGCCCTCTAGTGGCTGTCTGGTAGACAGACACTGGAGACAGACTTAGTGCTGCAATGTAAACATTGCAGTTTCTCTGGAACTGCAATGTTTAACCTTGCAGCACTAAGAGCAAAAGAGACAGTGCACCCAGACCAAGTCAATGAGCCAAAGTGGTCTGGGTGCCTACAGTGTCCCTTTAATACTTTGTGTTGTGTGCATGTTGATCTACTTCTACATATTTGTAAATTAATTTGTTTCTGTCAAAAGAACCAATATTAAATATAAAAAAATAATGTTTTGGGGAGTGCCTAATGGTTTTGGTATTTTATAAATATTTGGAAAGTATACCCAGGTTCCCTAGTTCAAGCACCCCTATACTCACAGGTTCCCCATAACAAATAACACAAGAAGCATGCTAATTAAAGAAGATTCTCATAAAAAAAGTGACAGAGTACCGACCAACCCTGGGAGTGTAAAGTAATTCCTAGATTAAGACTTAACTTTTATCCCACATTTTGAAAAGCAGCAATGGCAGTTATAGCACAATGCTAGTCCTTATATGTGAATCGGAGGCATCGTGGTATGACTATATTTCTTTAAAAATTAAAAATAAGTGGAATTTGTTTAGATGGTGTTGTCTGATTTCTTGCTTTATAATTTAAAAATTGAGATCTATTAAGTTCGTTAACACGTTTTATACTTCTTAAGAGTGTATCTTCTTTGTATCTTTTCTGTAAAAATAGTTTTAAAAAAAGAATGACTGATTATTAAAATATGCCTGGTCCATACAGTTCCATTTTAAATGTAAAAATTGGCCCTTAGAAATGTTTCGTAGCCATGGATCATAATGGCACCTAGTGGTTTCAATAAAACTGTTAACATCGACTTGTTTAAAAAATGTTCGAGTTTTAAGGTAGTTATGTGAGACAAAAATGTTAAGATCTAGAAAATCAACATTATTATGCCCCAATTATTAGACATGTGCAATTTGTTTCGGTCCGAATGTGAAATCGGACGAATTTTGTGCGATTCGGACATTCAGGTCCTTCCGAATGTCCGAATAGATGAATTGCTGAATTGCCGAAGTCCTGAAATTACTGAATTTCTGAAGTGTCGAGGTTCCGAAAGTGCTGAAGTGCCGAAGTTCCGAAGTTGCCGAAATTACAAAGTGTAGAAGTGTAGAATATTGCATATTCTGTATGTTCCTATTCAAATACATATTAAGGTGTGGCTGTCTAATGGGTTAAACAGAACAGATGGTGGTTGCTATTCTGTACCATGAGGTCTCTGGAATTTGCTGTATAAGAGATCTGAGGCGGTCTTTACATAGGGAACTTCCTTATATGGCAGGGTCTAAACTAAACGTTATGACGTAATTTGGGGTATATAGAGCC